TGGAAAAATAAAAATAAAAATCTACAGGGATGCGGTGGGAGGGCGCGAAAAGAACGATCTCGATTGAATCAAAAACGAGAAACAACCGAAGCAAACACTTAGACCATCAGTTTGTATGGAAATACAGAAAAAACATGAGAGCAATAGATAGACATTATCGTTGCAGTAAACTAAATGCGATCATATCCGCTTGCCCTTTCAGAGTTTATATGTAAAACAAATAAATTACAATAATTGTTTCCCTCCACGAATTTTCACCCTCAAAACCCACATCACCCTTAACAGAAAACAATTCCCCTCTGACACTCTTGTCCCAAAAAGCCGCGCTCGTGGGAAATCCCGCTACCCATCACGCGTGTCGTTGGGAAGTTCCTTTGCCGTTTGGGAATGTCGAAGTGCGTGCCCGTTTTGCGTTTTCTTTGTGGGTTTATTTTCTTTTATTTCACAACTCCCAATTCCCAAACCCCATGCTTTTCGTGTTGTTTTGGTTTTCTCCCCGTGTTTTTTTTTATCGTTTGGTGGGGGTCCGTTCTGCCGGGCCACTACCCCGCACACCACGCCCAACAATAAAGAGCGACACCGTGAAGGAGAATGGGATCCATTCCCCACACCCTTTAAACAATTCATGTTGCAACCATCATGGCGTCACCCCTTTGAAATTCCACCGAGGGAAAAGAACAACGGCCATCCGCCACATACCCCATCCATTAATTGGGCCCCCCCAAAAAAAGAGAGCGAAGAAGCCAAATAACATCCAACACCGAAAGAGGAATAAATAAAACCAACAGGGGAACCAAATCCCCAACAATCCCTCATCTTTTCTTCAAAACTTCCATTGGAATTCCGAAGGATTCAAGGTGCAACGAAAGCATACGCAGTAAAAGTATACCTAATGTAATTTACCTTCTTCTTTGCTGGGCCTAAAAAGTGCAAGAAAAAACAAAAAGAGAAACAGAAAATATTTTTATTAGTTTGACCCCTGTTTCAAGAGAGATCCCCCTTGGGAAGCGGCAAGCGGCAGAATAGTTTAAAACACTTTCCCGCCACGCAGAGTGAGAGCATCCGTTGTGTTTTGATAATTTTCCCTCCCATCAAAGCAATAAATTCACCATTTAGGCAGAGCAGTAAAACAAAAAAAAAAAAGAAGCACATAGTACTTTCCTGTTGTGTTTTTTTTTGCCCCCCATCACATTTTAATCAAAAACTAGAAAAGAGTCTCAAATGCCTATTCATAATTAACACTGGCGAAAAGGAAATGCCGAGAGCCCATTTTAACCCATCACCCCGCGCAGCAAAAAGAAGGACGTATTGAGTGGATTTTTCAAAACAGCAAATCTGAAATGACAACACCCACAAATATATATATAAACTAAGAAAACATAATATGTTATTTTTTTTTTCTTTTACCAAGCGTAAAATTAGATCATTCCTTTCCCAATCTCCTTCACCCATCCGCCCTGAGAATAATTTAAAAAACTCAACGAAATCAAAAATTAATATACATTGTCATTTGTATCTAGTCCCAAAATAAAACAGAAATTATAAATGGGCAATATACCGGACAGTCAGCCATTGTTTTGTGAGACCATGCGGCATATTTGTTTCATCCTTAAACTCATACTACTAAAAATAAAAACACAACATATTAAAGGAAATATTTTATTTCACTAATATTTCTGAAATTAAAACATGTTTCACGTGGATTCAAATTCTCCATCGCTTTCTACTTCTTGCCTTATTTCCTTTCCCTGCCTTCATTTTTTTTTTCTATATCCATCGCTTCTAAAGCCTCAATAAGCCATACAATCATCGGCTTCGACATGTTCACTTGATACTGATTTACCTTTTTATTCCAGAATTTGATAATAGCGTTCTGTGACGTGGCGGTATACCGCTGTG